TCGTGCCTGGACTGTCCACGAGCCTAATTTCTGTGGGAAAATTGGCACAAAAGGGACTGAAAGTGTTTTTTGATGAAGCAGGTTGCTAGATCGTTGACGAGAAGAAAACCGTTATAGCGAGTGGAGGTCGCTATGGTGGTTTGTATCACCTAAAGGTTGCTGGTTTATCGATGAAGGCTTCTGTGGATCAGCACAAGGAAAACTGCCAGCACCAGTGGCATCGCCTTATGGGCCACCGTGACTGGGCAGCGGTTGAGAGAATCAACAAGGAGCAGCTAGCCACCGGCATGAAGGTAAGCGACTGTGGGTTGAAGCTAGTTTGTGAGTGCTGTTTGGAAGGGAAATCAGCTAGGGCTCCCTTTCCGGCGGTGATAGAGCGAAAATCATCCCAAGTGTTGGACATCGTGCACACCGATCTGTGGGGCCCGATGAAGACAGTCTCGCCTAGTGGAAATCGGTATGTTATGAACCTCGTAGATGACTACAGCCGGTTTAATGTAACCTACTTGCTCAAGAATAAATGGGAGGCCACAGAAATAATCCAGGAATATGTACGATGGGTAGAAAATTTGTTCGGCCGTAAACCTCGGGTCATTCGGTCGGACGGAGGTGGGGAATTTGATAATAGAGAGTTACAGAAATTCTACAAAGAAGAGGGCATCAAAGCACAGTATACCGCCCCCTACTCACCGCAGCAGAATGGGGTGGCCGAGCGTAAAAATCGGTCGCTCACCGAAATGGCAACATGCATGCTGCTGGATGCGAACCTGGACAAGCGTTTTTGGGGCGAGGCCGTACTCACTGCTACATACCTCCAGAACCGGCTACCATCGAGATCGGTTCAGAAGACTCCCTACGAACTGTGGTGGGGACGGAAGCCGGAATTGGGGCACCTACGCGTGTACGGTAGTGTGGCCTACGTCCATGTGCCTTCAGTGAAGCGGGGCAAGATGGATAGCAAGGCACGAAAGCTGGTTTTTGTCGGCTATTCGAACGAGCACATAGGCTACCGATTCGTTGATCTGGAGTCAAACGCGATTACGATTAGTCGCGATGCTAAGTTCGTGGAGCTTGGCAACGGAACATCGTCAGTGGAAATTCCTGTCGCGAGTGAACCTTCGTGCGTAGAAGAGTTTGCTGATGAAGATGAGGAGAAAAAGGCAAACAATCACGACGAAAATGGAGCATCGGACGACTCAGTGCAGGATGATTTCTATGAAACGGATGAACAAGGTCATGAAGCTGACGCTGAACTACGGAGATCCCGAAGACAGAATCGTGGTAATCCGCCGCGGTATCTCGAAGATTACGTGTTGGATGAAGTCGTCGGATTTGCTGCCAGTGCTTACGAGGAGCCGAACAACTACAAGGAAGCTATGAAGGAACCGAAGTGGCGCAGAGCCATGGAGGACGAGTTTGAGTCTCATCGGCGCAACGGGACGTGGGAGCTCGTGGAGTTACCCCGTGAACGGAAAGTTGTCGGATCGAAATGGGTTCTGAAGATCAAGCGGAACGAAAAGGATGAGGTGGTCAAATACAAAGCACAAGTGGTAGCGCAAGGCTACACCCAACAAGCGGGAATCGATTTTGATCAAGTATTTGCGCCTGTAACACGGATTGCAACCCTACGGACGTTTCTCGTAGTGGCTGCCAAGCGGAATATGCCAGTACACCACTTCGACGTTAAGACTGCCTACCTTTACGGTATACTTGACGAAGAGATATACATGAGGCAACCGCCCGGATTCGAAGTACCTGGAAAGGAGGAGAGAGTCTGCAAACTCAAACGCAGCATTTACGGACTGCGTCAGTCAGCACGCTGCTGGAATGCAAAGCTGAAGCAGGTTTTGACCAAGATGGGATTCACAGCTTCAACTGCAGATCAATTTTTGTTCGTAAGAGGATCTGGACAAAACCAATCGTTTTTACTGGTGTATGTCGATGATGTCCTCATCGCCACAACGGATGCAGAGATGAAGCAGATCAGTAAAGGATTGCAGGAGGAGTTCGAATTGACATTCTTGGGTGAAGTGCGACACTTCCTAGGGATGGAGATAATACGAGAAGCAGGAGTTTTCAAGATTCGTCTACGCAATTACATCAACAAGCTACTGGAGGAGAATGCAATGGATCAGGCGAAAACGTCGAAGTCTCCAATGGATCAAATGTAATTTAAAACTGTCGGCGCGGGAGATGTCTTCGAGGATCCTACCAAATATCGCAGTCTGGTCGGAGGATTATTATATTTAGCCGTGCTGGCACGCCCTGATATCGCAGCATGTACGGCAATACGGAATGCTGCTAAACGAATGCTCCGATACCTCAAATCGACGAAAGACTGGTGTTTGCTACTGGGAGGCAATGCTGATCAACCGCTAATTGGACATTCGGATGCCAATTGGGCGGGAGACCCGGAATGCAGGAGGAGTACATCTGGATTCGTATTTGAATTTGGAGGAGGAGTCATCTCATGGGCGAGTCGTCGTCAGTCCTGTGTAACGTTGTCGTCTATGGAGGCTGAGTTCGTCGCTCTGATTGAGGCCTGTCAAGAGGCCATCTGGCTGAGGCAGTTGCTCAGCAACTTCGGAGAGAAACAGGTACAGCCTACGTTGTTAATTGAACGAGGACAACCAAGGTTGTCTAGCATTCGTACGGACAGAGAGGTGCAACGGCAGATCGAAACACATCGATACTCGTGAGCGCTTTGTCCATGAATTGTGTGAAAGCAAGCAGATCGAGCTTAAGTATTGTTCGACGGGGCTGATGGTAGCGGACATATTTACAAAACCCCGTGGTCCGCAGAAGCATGAGCGTTTTTGTCAAATACTCGGGCTGAATAACAGTGAATAAAGTCGCGTCTCATTGAGGAGGAGTGTGGAGTGACAATGAGCACACCTTCATATGTAATGTGCATTGACACACCCCTCATCGATTGCTATACCTCCGTGAGCGCAAGGTACGAAAGAGAAGAAGAACACAGTGACAATGAAACCGAACTAATATCGACTGCGTAATCGTTGCTCTAAGATTGTATAACGTTTCACCTGAATAAAACGTTTTCCATTAAAAGGCATTTTCTCCACGTGTGTTTATTATGATTTCGAAAGTCCTCACCTGTGTGTCCACTGTCCGCCCAATCTGCCATCAAGAACTACTAGTTTGTCCCACATCCTGGCGAAGTTTTGAAATCCTTTTTCGTCTTCATATCGCAATTCTTGAAGGACAATATGAGCCAGATCCCTGACAACCATTTCCTACTCCACAAAGTTCACCTTCTCTTTCTCATTTTATTGAAAATAATAAAAGCAAATGCGCCTATGCGGAAGTATTTACTTTTGATTTCTGATACAATTTTGTTTTGAAATTTAAATTGACAGTTCTCGATGAACATTTCAAATGGTCCTATCTGCTTTGATCGATTCTCTTCATCGACTTTCTCTTTCGTCAATAACTCAGCTGCAAAACCTTTCCCTGTTGTATTTGACGTTTTGGACGCTAGATAAGAGCCTCCTTTATCAAACTATGTGGTAGAATTAGCGCGAGATCTGTTTGCATAGCAGTGGTTATGAAAAGAGAAAGTCGATGAAGAGGATCGATCAAAGCAGATAGGACCATTTGAAATGTTCATCGAGAGTTCTTTCGACATGTGCAAGAAGTGTGAACGCCAACAAACAGGGAGGTTCGACAAAGTGTGTCGAAAGTATTGTGTCTTTCACGAATATTTAGACTATAGAGACGAAATTGAGGGAGCTCGTAGATGGTTCAAATGTCAAAAGCTACCACCTTTCCCTATTTACGTCATGTGTCTTGATCATTAAAATTTTGTAAATAAAAGAAACGTCAGTTAACATCGATGTTCAACTAAAAACGTAACTATTTCATAAATACTATTGCGTAAAATGGCATCGTAAAATGGCATTGCGAAAGATCAGAGAGCGTCAGTGAATACCATATATCATGTTTTATATGGATATTATTTCCTTGGATTGTCCAAATCGAGGCTAGCAACAATTTATCACAAACACAAGTCCACAATCACAAATTGGATCATGCGATACGAAGAGGACGGATTCTATTCTCGCCGAAGTTACGAAAGGGATGCTGTGAAATTCTCTCCCGAAAAACGACAATGGTTGATAAACCTGTATCTACAAAATCCTACGCTTTATCTACATGAATCTAGCAAGCGGTTCCAGCAGGAGTTCAAGACGACAATATCTATCTCATCCATTTGGCGCATCATACATAACGCTGGTTTGACCTGGAAATGTTTGGAACGTCGTGCAATTCAAATCAAGGAAAGTGATGTAATCCGTTTTTTCAACGAAATTTCGTGCATTCAGTGGGACTTCCACAACCTCGTCTTTTTAGACGAGGTTAGTTTCGATAACAGATCCATGTTACGCTCCAGGGGCTACGGAGTTCGAGGCCACCGCTTAGTGTTTCGAGGAGAATTTGTGCGGAAGCCTAGGGAATCCTTGCTTTGTTTCATTGGGCAAAACGGAATGCTTGAAGCCTTCTCTACCAACGGAACATTCAACCGACTAAACTTTTTTGAATGCTGCCGACGATTTGCTCTGGAAACGGGCCATGTTCAGTGCTATCCAGGTAGACATTCCATATGGATATTGGATGGAGCGAAAATTCACTGCAGTGCGAAAATCATAGAATATCTTCGATCAATTGGAATATTCCCTATCTTTCTACCTGCGTATTGCCCCTTCTATAACCCTATTGAAGTCGTTTTCGGATTATGCAAGCGACAAACTCAAGCTATCTATCAGGAATGTGTAAAGAAAGGAATTAAAACAGTAGTAGCTGAAGTGATGGCTACCTTAAGAAATTATAACATGTCTAACTTATTCAGGAAGTGTGGTTACCTGAGAGGAGGAAAATTTGATCCTTCGGTTGCAGATGTGTCTGATTTCTGAAATATAGTAAAACAATGTATTTGTCTTTATTCATTAAAACAAGTTATCTCAACTCATTTGCAAGTTGGCTTATTCGTGGTCTACATCCTCCATGTCAACTACCTGTCCAGCAATATGTCGACTGAACTCTCCTTCGGAAACTTCCATTGAAGTTTCCATCGCACTTATGAATGAATCACTCATGCGTCCACGCTGCTCCAATGCTTCGATGCGATGCTTCACGAATGAAAGTTGTAGCTGCATATTCTTGGCTACCACCTCAAGTGAGGAAAACGCTTCCTTCAGCGCTGTGATCTCTTCACAAAATGACGCATTTACATTGTGAGCTACAGCCAACCCACGCTTCACACTTTCAATTTTCGGACCGTCCTGTGTTCTGAAAAGATGTTGCAGATGCTTTGGAGGAACTGAATTAATCATGTTCTCACGCGTATGAGCTGGCGAAGCAAGTATGGCTGATGCCCACATTGTCCATGCCATTTCGTGTCCATCCCAAAGATGACCATGTCGTTGACGCAAATCCTTAGATAAATCGACGACCACTTGGGTTGAGGCTGCTCCTGCCTTATCGCGCTCAGATGGGTCAATCAAATGTTGCTTCACTGAATTGAAAATCTTACGGGAACTTACGGACAGTGAATAAACATGCAACAGCAGCTGAATTTCTTTTCCTTTCCAGTTCTGAAGCAACGTGGTGGTCAGTTTGTCCAGCGAAGTGTACTTAAGATTTTGCTTCTCGTAAAAAATGGCAAACCTCACCAAATCTTCTTCTTCCGGAGAATCCTTATCCATCCATGCTGGCACCGTGCTTCCATCGTCTTGCTGATTAAAAATTACTTCTCGAAGTAGATGTGGTCTGCATAGCTCCCATAATTTCGTCTTAAAGTCATTGAGCGACTTTCCATCTACATTCCAGTGCGCAATATGAGCTCCGGAGGACTGACCTTTAAATTCACGCAGAAACACCAGCAGTCGACAGTTGAACAACGCTGGAGATTTGTTTCCTTTCGGCTGAGTTACGTGCTCAGGTGCATCAGGCTGCTCATGGCTTGGATCACTGTCGGGGTCGCTCCAGTCATAGTCGAGAACCTGAACGTCTTCGAATAACGGGTCATCGAGTTGATCCGCCATCGGGTCTTCGTTCTCATTGCCATCCTCCTTGTCTACATCCTCACCATCATCGTTACGGGATGCCCTTCTGGAAGCCATTCGTTCCTTTTGCAGAAGGTTCCTACAAAGATGATATTATTACATCGGTTGAATTTTAGTTTGCAAATCACCAATCTTACCAATTTTGTTGTAAAACAGTTAAAACAGTTTAAAATAAATCACTTAAAAGCTAACTTTTCGAGCGGCTTCAAAATTTCACGAAAAACAAACAACAACAAACTTTTTTTCATTTTTTTTTTCACTCGATTTCCATTCTGTCAACAATGTTCAAGATGTACGTAGAAAGGTGAAAGAAGTGAGAGCGAAATCGATAGCGAAATATCGTAACGACGAAATTGATATCGGTCGAGTCTAAATGAAGAAAAATTTCGCAATAAAATCGAGCAGATTTTTCATTATGGTGGCTATCAAAATCAGACCAAGAAATCAAGAATAAACGGACCTAAACCGTATGTAATGTTTCGAAATCACTCAATTTAACAGATTCACATTGAACACTGAACGAATGTTTGATAGTTATAGTTAAAAAAAAAACACATAAATAGCACCATATTTGACACGTTCCTAATGATGCCGCACTCGTATATTTTTGATCGCATCTCGATTTTGACAAGAATTTGTTAAAACCTTGTTACACCATCGTCCCTAGAGCACTGTAACTTATATTTGCAGAAGTAACATTTCAAAAATAGTTATTGAAAATAGTCGAACATTATTGATTGCGGCGATTTAGGAACTGCTTCGAATATGGTACCTCCACGATACTTGGATGCATGTGCATGCATATGAAATGCAAACGTCAAACCATATTACCACCTCAAAGTGATATCCACATTACAAAGCTATATTACATTATATACAGTCTAGTCTGAACGTATGTACTATTAATTTAATTATTGAGATGTGAAATTTTTAATTTGATGTAAACAAACGTTTGCTCTGATAATCGCCTAGCGCACTCTACATTGGTGATACATCGAAGCAGCCTATGAGTATTCCTGACTGTATCAAAGATGATGAAAATGAAATTATAGTTATTGAATCATTCCATAACTAAAATTTCAGAAAGCGGAAACACGTGTAAACCGAACACCTGGGTAGCTTCCCCACAATCAACGCACTCCTCCAGATCATCAGAACAAATTAACCAAGGTCACAAACAAGTAGGTATAGACGCAGTGACTTTCATTTCATTGCCACTGCCACCACCGAATGCCGTTCTCCGATTCGGGTTCGTTATAAAGTAAGTTCTTGCAAAAACAACAACCACCACCACAAATAATAGGTTAACTTCTTTGGAGGGGTGCTTCACATTTCGGTTCCACATGAAAAACCAGAAACTCTGATGGGATGCTTCACTGACCGCACTCAAGGACGAACCCCTTCGCGTGCGTTCTGCAGCCAGTTGACTGTTCGCGAGCATTTGCTTGTAAACAAACTTGGTACCTACATGCAATGGTTAGGCAACGTTTTTCGGTGCTAAAACGATTAACACCTCCCTTCTGTGTGCCGAGTTGGATACGAGAAGGTGTGACAAATAGTCCGTCACTTACGAAGACCGTTATCTCGCACGATCGCACGAATGATAAACTAATCGGCGTAGGTAGTACGTTCGGCAGCAGTTCGTTCGCCCATTCGCTCCCTTGCATACGTGTGCAATGCTGCTGACCATCAAAAAATGGAGCAATTTCTAAACTTTGGGCACTTTGCGCTTCTTTCGTGAATCATTAAACTTGATGTGCGTCGGTGTTTCGGTGCCGCTGCTTCATAGAGGTTCATTTTGATAAGCGGACGCTCGGTATCAACCCAATCAAGGATCCACTTGTCACAAGCAAAACGGCAGCAGCTTCACGGCGGCAGGCGGAGAGTCGATTGAGTGGTGTGTTCTTGGTAGTTGTTTTGTTACCTATATGGACGGTAGATTATACCGAGTTGATTGGATTGGGCTATATGGGAGCCTGATTGTGTCGCCGCCGACGATGCCGTCGGAGCTCGGACGACAAAACAAAACTCTTTTCACCGCTGCAGATCGTCGGCAGTGTGCGTCGGGATATGGTTCTAGCACGGTCGGTCGGACGTTCGGTTGGTTGTTGGCTGTGAGTTGTGAACTGTGTTGATTTTGGACGAAGGTGTCCGTTTCAGTGATTGAAACTTTGATTGGAAAGTGAAAGCGATCAAGAACGCGAAGTGTGGTTTGTGATCTTCCACTGTTTACCTGCAAGTGTACCGAAACGTGTAAATCAACAACGTAAGTAAGTGATGAGTTGGAACCATGGAGGGAGAGAGAGAGAGAGGGTATCGATTTATCTAATCAGGTGGCTTGGTCATCCATGTGTGGTAAATGAACCGATGGACTCATGCGTCTTTATTTTGCGTCGTGGATTACGTTCGCATATGACAAATCAAGCTGAACATTGCATTAGGTCCTATGTAACATTGACAGATTCTCTTCCTCGTATTTCTCTTTGTATCCCCACGGCCAATTAAAGACAATCCCTGTTTTGCACACAGATCGACAAAAGAATTTTTTTATCTAGCACCTTATACGACAAATACAACAAGAAACAGTTATATGCTCAAGTTATTAGCTTAGTTACTTAGGACCAAATGCTTGAAACAACCATGCATCCAGAGGGGGGGCAATATATTATACGACCACTGATAACATTAATGGATGCAGAATTGTATATCAAGGTCCGGTTTTGGACTGCAATATTTGTCGAACGATTAATAACTGGTTTATCTCAATAACTGCATCTAATTTTAAAATCCTGGTCGGTAGATGAGTTTGAAATAATTTAGATTCCACGTCTCCGGTACCAGTAGATGTGTCATTGTCATTGAAAGACGCGATACTGACAAAATTATGTCAGTTATGGGCTACAAATCGCTTTGTTGATTCTGCGCCGAGCAAAGCCGACTTCTCCACTGGACTTGGTCCTAAGCCAATCGCTTCCAGTCGCCACGAACGTTTAGCGACCTGATGTCCTCCTCAACTGCAAAAAGCCAACGTGTGCAAAATCTACCCCGGAGTCGACGACCTCTGCCGGGTTATCTGCTGAATATAATCTTTGCTTGTCGTTCTTCCGGCATCGGCACTGCATGCCCAGCCCACCGTAGTCTACTGTGTTTTATAACCTTCACTATATCCGTACCGTTATACCAACCGGTGCAAACTAACGATTTTAATTTGGCTTGGCTCACTACTTGACTAGCCTATTGGTCCCAAGGAAATCGATTAACGTACCCCATTCTAGTCGAAATTCTAGCACTACACTATGTTTGTTTTGATTCGATATGAAAGTTTGACAGATAAAATGAGGGGTTCGTGGATTTTCCTATGTTTCGAGGGGTGCATCGATTTTCTTGGGACCGAAGATAGTACCAGAGCTGAGCCAAAAAGTTGAGCACGTTTCTTCGGGACCTTCTGGTCTTAGAGTTACCTCTATGGTTATACACTTGGTACAACTCGTGATTCATGCGACGCAGCTAGATGCCATTTTCTTGTTTACCGCCGAACATTGTTCGCAGCACCTTACGCTCGAAGACACAAAATGCTCTCCGGTCAGTCTCCTTTAAAGCCCACGATTCATGGCCATAGATGGCCACCGGAAGTATCAGCGTCTTATACAAAGCAAATTTTGTTTTCGTTTGCAAGCTACGGGACTTCAGCTGGTAACGTTATCCGTAAAAGGCCCTGTTTGCAGCTGCAATACGTCTCTTCACCTCGCGGGTTACATCATTATCGCATGTCATTAGTGTTCCAAGATACACAAATTCTTCCACTATCACAAATTGTTCACCATCTAACACAACTTCACTACCAAAACCACTATTGCTGCCACGCTGTCTACTTGTCTAACATGTACTTCGTTTTGGTAGAACTTATCGGGAGCCCAATCCTCGCCGTCTCCCTCTTAAAAGGCTCAAAGGCCTCTTCCACTGCTCTGAAACTTGTTTCTAAGCTAATAACAAAAACTGCCCATCCTCGTCACTGACAAGATTGTCACTGACAAATTGGCATGGTTTCCCTTGAAGATGGCTTTTAGCTCGAATGAGTGACCAAAGCCTATGTACCGGTAATTCTACGAAATTTCGAGCGATAAATAATTCAAGATAAAAATAATACCGATTTCCTGTTTTTTTACCGCTTAAAACCGAATTACCACAGACAAACAGACTCAATGCATCGAGAATTTTTCACTGTAAATCATTGTCACTAAAACACTACCGCCATCTGATGAGTACACTGTCATGAACAGTACGATCAACAGATGGCGGTAGTGTGTAAACGTTAAACTCAAGGGAACTGACTGACTGACGTGTTTGATGATAAATATGCAAATGTTATGTCTGTTTGCCTGCCACTTTTCTTACAATCGTACTTTCGAACTGTTTATCAAACCTATATTGAATAATAGAAAAAAAAAATCCCGGAAGACTGAACGATTCCAGAAGAATAAGATTAATTATACAGATCTTCACGGTAGAATTTTCTCTCTTGTGCACATGAGTTGTCCCGAACTTCCCGGAGGAAATTTCGTGAGCATTCCCGGAGGAGTTACCTCCAAAATTACATGGTGAAACTCCGTCTTAGTTCTTATCATTTCCAGAAAAAAAATATTTTTATCTATTTATTTATTATTGCTTGTCAACGGATACAATATATACCCCAATGTAAGATAACTGTATCAGAACATACAATATTATGAAGTAATAAAATTGGGTTGTTAGCGGAATGCTTTAAATAAAACAGCAAAAAAGGTTATCTTCCATTTAATTCCACTTAATTAATTTTGGAATCCATGACCGATATGTATATCGACTACAATGTGCAGTCTTCATCAGTGTCATTCCCACTAAAGAACTGATCAAAACCTAACTCCCTTAAGTACTCATCCCCTAGGTAAAAATGTCAAGATCACAGGTATAAAAACTTTGAAACCGATAAGCTTGAAAACAATCTGGCGACACTGGTAGAAGCCACGTATTTTTTCCCTTGATTTGTTTTCGTCGATCTTGTTTTCCGTACTGAGTACTAATGCTACCAACGCCAGGAAGGCAGCTCCCACTCCTGGACCCTACCCATCGACCCATAAACTCATGAACCGGGGACCAATGGCTTTACTTCCCTTCCGAAGGAAAGCGCGATCAGAGATTTTATGCCTCAGAAAATCCCGGCGGTGCCGACTGGGATTTGACCCAGGCTCTTCGAAGTGAGAGGCAATCACGCTTACCACTACACCATCGGCACCGTTTAGAAGCCGCGTCTGATCATTGACGAACCGACATGTCACTGGAGTATTTCGTGTGCCCGAAATTCGATTTGTCAAAAGAGCGATTCGATCTGTC